ACCTTCTAGCGCAGATACAAGGTCTCAGATTTTCTCATGTAACTTTCTTAAAATCCCATTAAGCCCAGGAAAAACTCTTCTGTATTTCAGTTCTAGTTGTCTGCTTATGGCAATTATAACCGACTTTGGATTAAAGTTATTTATATCTGCATCTTAGGTGAAAGGATTGTGTCTAGTTTATCCTCCAATCTCCCACAATGCCTAGCACAGAGTAAACCCTCTGCCGATGCTGAAATAGCCCAGCGTTGGCATAAAGCGTCATGCACCCAAAACCAACCACAGCATTTGTTAAAAAGGCAAAACAAAACAAAACTAGGAACAACCCAAATGCCCAACAATAGGAAATTAGTTAAGGAAAGTATCACACACTTGCACTTCAGAATATTATGCAGCCGGGCTTCCCTGGTGGCGCAGTGGTTGAGGGTCCAACTGCCGATGCAGGGGACACGGGTTCGTGCCCCGGTCCGGGAAGATCCCACATGCCGTGGAGCGGCTGGGCCCGTGAGCCATGGCCGCTGAGCCTGCACGTCCAGAGCCTGTGCTCCACAACGGGAGAGGCCACAGCAGTGAGAGGCCCACGTACCGAAAAAAAAAAGAAGAATATTATGCAGCCAATAAAAAGTAGGCTGGAAATGCATTTGTGATGGAGAATACTTAGGCTCTAATGATAATATCAAAAAATGCAACAAAATTTATACTTAGTAGCCCCGGCTCTACAGCTAATAAAAACAAAACAAAACAACCACAAAAAAACCATGCTCCTAGAAAAAGGCTGGGAAATCTCGCCATTACGATGCCCATGTAGGGACTTCCCTGGCGGTCCAGTGGTTAGGACTCCGCGCTTCCATTGCAGGGGGCATGGGTTTGATCCCTGGTCATGGAACTAAGATCCTGCAAGCCACACGAAGTGGTCCAAACACAAAAACCAATGCCCATGTGATGAATCGGAGAGAGGGGTTTGGGCAAGTGGCTGAAGAAACATCCCACATGACCTCGGGCCTCTCTTTTCCTGGCATGGTGTCTTTGGAGGCCACGTGGTTAAGGACCATTGTCTGGAAGGTGGAATCACAGTTGGAAGTTTTTCTGTTTCCCTATTTTTCCTCTTAGGCACTTTGTAAATTTTCCAGAAAGGGCAATGGTTACTTTAAAATAAAAAAACCCAAATCATTTCTTAACATTGGCTGAATTGTTTGTTGGCCCTTTTTTCTCAGTCATCAGTTGGTTGTACAACAGGCGTTGACTGGGAATCTGGGCATCCCGCCCTTCACCTCTACCCCTGCACTGGCAGCTCTGCCAACAGATTGCACGATGCACGCCGGGAGAGGGGAAGGATGCCACCATCGAGGGGAAGGGAGTGGGTGACCCAGGGTGGGCTTCCCTCTGGGACCTCGGTCCTCAGAGCTCAGTCTACCAATTTTCTTCCGGAGCTGTTTTGATGTTTTTCTAACAACTTAATACATTCCCTGCAGCCACTCCCTGCCTTTGAATGCTTCATTTGAAAAGTTAGAATGCGCAGGCATTTAAATTGGTTCATTGTGGCTTTAATCTCTCGTCTACTGTGTGACTTGATTGGCTTCCAAAAGCTCAGCTTTTATTTTTTACAAAGCGATGAATGGGAGGAGCCGAAACTAGCTCCCAAGGTTTCAGATGACAGGATGTGGAGGCGGGATGTATGCTCTAAACACCCAAAGGCAGCGAGGTTTGGAGAACCCTTCTTGCAGTTGGAAATGCCCAGGGCCTGGGAGGTGTGATGGTTTGGAGACCCCAAGGTACTCAAATGGAACACTAGGGGTCCGGCAGGGTGGGGCAGGACTCGGGTGGACCTCAGACCCACGGATCAGCCTCAGATGGGGGCTTCTAACCTCGGATGGGGGACCACTAGCTGTCAGCTTGGTGAAGCTGCAGGCAGAGTTCAAGAGACCAGGGCCTCTTGGCCTGTGCTACCAAACCACCTCATTCCAGGTCAGCGAAACACACAGGAATTAAACACGCACTTCTAGCTAGGCCAGATGCTACAACCACAGAAGCAAATAAGCGGGCACCACATCTGCCTCAAGAAGCTTCCAGGGGGCTTCCCTGGTGGCGCAGTGGCTGAGAGTCCGCCTGCCGATGCAGGGGACGCGAGTTCATGCCCCGGTCCGGGAAGATCCCACATGCCGCGGAGCGGCTGGGCCCGTGAGCCATGGCCGCTGAGCCTGCGCATCCGGAGCCTGTGCTCCGCGACGGGAGAGGCCACAACAGTGAGAGGCGCCCGAGGCCACAACAGTGAGAGGCGCCCCCGTATCACAAAAAAAAAAAAAAGAAGCTTCCAGAAGAGAAGCTGCACATTGAACGCCTGTGTGGGCTGCAGGTGGATGAACTGCAAACCAGGGTTGGGGATTTGAGGGGAGGGGGATGGACTTTTACTGTGGACCCCTTCTTGGAATAAAGTCTTTAAATGCCGAGAATAAACTGCAAGAATTACAAAGGAAACCAATCATATTAAAACATAGTTATCAAAATATCAAAAATCAAATTCATCACACACACATATACACACCCCACACGCCACACACTACCGTACTAACACATTAAATCACAAGATCTAATGACAATGGGTCTAATAACTACTGGAATTTTGAAATACTGATGGGCATAAAATACATTTCAAGAAATCTACAATGACTGCAGTGCAACATAAAAATATATGTGACAAAGTTACAGCCACTGCTAATAACAGAGTAGGCTTTGATTTTGTTTTGCCTCCTGCATAACTGAAGAAATTGCCATCGGTTAGAGGTCAGTAGCAATTCTATCCATAGCCCCCTGTCAGTCCATGGACCTGGGTTAGAATCCACAACTGATGGAAAGGAGAGCCTGCTTCCTTACACAAATTTAAAAGTTTAAAGTTAAAAAGCAAATGAGCAGCTCAAGAAAAGCCCACTCACAATTGGTTTATGGACCAGGAAGACATTCCTCCTTAGCATCCCTCACCAGGAACATCATGGATTTCCCTCCGTTTCCTCAATCGACTCCAACAAGCTTCCGGCCCTCTTCCCATCCCTTCTCTGGGCTGGAACCAGAGGGCGTTTCCTAAAACACAAATCCAGCTGACCATTGCCCTGTTTAAAAGATACGTTGCAGCGGTCTTCCGACCGACCCCCAAGCCCTGAGCGTGACCCTGCTTCCAGCCTTGCTTCCTGCCATGCCTCCTCACAGCCAACCCCAAGGCAGATGTGCAGTTCTTAGCTCCTCTCTGACACAGCCAAGACAATGACCTCTGTTCCCTCCTCTAGAAGCGAGCCCCCTCCCCCAAGCCTTGCTGTCCGGCGTGGCACCCCAGAGCATCGTGACCACCAACTATATTTTCTGGATAGGCCACCTCCTCTCCTGCTGCCTTTCCACCTCTGCACCCCAGTGCTGGAGCGTCAAGTTACCAGCCCTTCATTAATGTCGACTGAAGGAACAAATAAGCCAAGGAAATGACCCATAGTACTGGGCTGAGCAGGGTGGGAAGCCTTCCAAAATGTGACAGGGAAAGTAGGAGAAAGAGCCCTGGGCTTGGAATCTGCACATTTGCCCTGAGCACACCTTTGCCTCTCTGGGCCTCAGTTTCCCCATCTGCACACTGTGAGTGTTGAACAGAGGGTCTCTGAGGGTCTTTGAGGTTGTGGGTTGGAAGGGTCCAGATTACTGAGATCTCTGTGAGCCACGCCAGCTGGGGCCTATGCACCAGCCTCCGCCCTCAGACTGTCAGCCTGGTCTGGGCCCTGGGCCCCTTCTCTCCCCCATGGACCCCCGTCCTCAGCCAGTTCAGAGCACCCCTTCCAGCATCGTGGCCCCTCTAAGGCAGGCCGAGGTGAGTAGCCTCCCAGGGCCACACGGAAACTCCAAATGAGGTGGTCCTGGGGACCTTTTATACAGTGGTGGGCACACTTTTTTTGTAAAAGTTCAGGTAGTAACTATCTTTATACTCTGCAGGCCATATACAGTCTCTGTTGCATATTCTTCTTTG